GACAAATTAAAGGAAAACCCAATATGAAGAGTCTTGGCATGGAGACAGGTCCCCACAAGCCTCCAGCAGCTTCAGTGCTCATTGCCAAGTCTGTGAAACTCTGTTGGAGGCATGGACGCCATTCCTCATTAATCTCATTAAAATCAAGATGAGACCTGAGTACAGATGGAAAGAAACGCAAACGTAGCCAGTGATAAAACAAAAGGACACATAACATCGGAGAAAGTCACAGACAACACTGAATAGATCTGAGAATAATAGTTTATGCTTTAACAATACTTAAAATTAACTTTCTGTCCTTTGATTCAGCCTTCATTGAATGCATTTGCAGAATTGTATTAGTGTATCATTTGAGGGGGAAAAACTTATTTGGATGCATTCTGTGTCCTCAGCTTCTGCCGTACGTAGGAGAGGAGCTGGTGTCTGTCAAAGTGGAGCCGTGCAGTCCTGCTGTCAACCAGGAGAGAAAAGAGGTTCTTGAGGTGTGTTCCTGTTGTCTTTTGTCACAAGTTCATGCACACGTGTTCTCTGTGTTGTTGGAGTAGTGAATGAAGTAGTGACAGCTGCACCTCTCTGTACTGTTGTCAGATTGCAGCGCAGTCGTTCTCCTGCAGTGTCGCATGCATGAATAAATAAAGTATGTGCTGCAAAGTAATTCCACGGTGGTGTAATAATGGGCCCTCATACTGCCATATATTTCAGTGATACTTGGAAAATAACAAAGGTAGTTCAAGGTCCAACACTGCTGCAAGTTAAATAACATCAATATACTGTTTCTTCGGTGGACACAACTTTGCTACTTCGCAGTTCAGGCTGATAGTTGTTTATTATTTTTTGCTGTTTGCCATTCACGAGGAAAGTGGGGTTCCCATTTAAAAGAAGACAGAGCAAGAAAAAATATATAGCTTCTGAAGTCTTCTGTAAATGCCTGTAGGTGGCAGTGCTGACACAGGCCGAGTACAGCTCTGTGGTGTGGGTGAAATGCAGAAACTGCATCATGTGCAAAGTAAATTTAAAATCAGGGTGTTGTTTTAGTAAACATTACAGTTAATATTCCAGCGGGGTAAAGAGTTCAGGCAGGTTTGGAGATTGCCACCAGGCAGCCAGTGGCGAAATATTGGAAACATTAGCCTGAGGCTGGGTAGCTTGTTTGTTTTGTTAACAGCATAGCAAACCAGCTAAAAGTGTCTTTTCTACCCTCAAATTCCTCCAATAGGTAAATTTGTAAATAAACCTCGCTTATTAATCACGTTCATAGTGAGTGTTTTGTGGTTTGCCTGCAGAAGGTGCGTCAGAAGAACCAGGAGATGAAGGTGCTGATGGATCAGATGAGGAACCTGCTGTGGGATGTCAACGCCATGCTGACCCTCAGGAAATGATAGTTCCAGTAGATGCACTCTCTTTCAAGAGAAGCATTCCTCTACAGACATACGGACTGCGTCACGGCAAAGCCCAGGTGAAATAAGGGAAGTCTGTTGGATTTGGAGTATGGGACCTTTTCACTTCGGCGCACCGTCTTTTTGGTGGCACTTCATCACTGACAACTTACAAGTCACAGTTCACCCGTCTACTATTGTTTTATGTATTATATTGAAGTTGTTGAGGGGAAACTATTATTTAGATAGGATAAGACTTAAAGGGAAGCTTGTATTGTTTAACCTGAACCCTATTTTCTCATGTTTTTTCGTCACACTGACTAATGGAGACAGCTATTTTTGAACTTGGACTAGTATTGACAGAGAGCACTGTAGCTGCAGCAGCAGAACAGGCTGCAATGTAGTCCCTATAGGCAATGGTGCACTGTCAGTTTACATCCATAAAAATGCTTGCAGGCTTCTTATTATTGTCTGCTAACATTATGGAGAAGACCCAAAAGAAAAATGAAAAGACCTTCCACTAGTCTGTTTGTTGTTGTGTGTAACCAAGGTTCTGTGAAGGAACGGTCTCTCTCTGAGATCTCTCAGACTTTTCCCAGTCAGCTAAATATTCAGCTGTGACATTGAAAATCTTTTTGATAACACTAAGCCACGCTTTTTGTACTCAACACAACAAACTCGTCCCGGCACTCCTCTCTCCAGCTCTCACAGATGTTTTTTCTTGCAACAAGTCTCCTTTCTTGAGTCTGTAGAATGAGACTTCTCCTTGAGCAAGGCCAGGTCACAATGACAAACAGACCAGCGAAAGGTACTGAAAAACATTTTATCTCTCTGCAGGGTCCTTTCCATAATGCTGTCTGCCGCTTAAAATAACAATCTGAGCCTCCCGTGGAAAAAAACAAGCACTTCCAGTGGATGTACATCGAGGTCTGCAGTCTTAAAGATTTATCTGATAGATTTTAAAAGTCATGGCTGAATGTTTAGCTGATTTCAACAGTGTGGAAAAGTCCACAAGATTTCAGAGCTTCTCATTGAGCAAGACGTGGGTACACACAATAACAAACAGAACGGATCAGCCAAAGGTAAAGAAAAACATTTCATTTCACTGCAGGGTCTTTTGCTTAATCTTGTCAGACACTTAAACAACTGAACTTAAACAATGTAAACCTGTCAGTGGCAAAAACAAGCACATTTAGTGGATGTAAATGGACACAATTGCCTGTAGGGATTACACTGCAGCCTGTTTCGCCACTGCAGCTCCAACGGTCTCTCAGTACCGGTCTCCACTAGTCACTTAAGACACAAAACATGTGAAAAAAAGGCTCCAGGTTGAAGAATATCAACATTTCCTTTTAATGAAAGCTTAAAAAAAGCACAAACTGCTACAACAACCTGGGAGACTCCAACTCCAACATCATTGTCTCTTTGTAAAAGGCAGCTAACAACCCGATTAATCTTTGCCAAGTGCTCTACAACTGTTATTTTGTCACGGTGTATATGTGAATATGTTATGGACTCCTGTTTCCGTACCGCTTAAATAATGAGTTGAAACCTGTATTGCTTCCAGTAAAAACAAAAAGTTTTCTTGAAACGGTGCATTCATGGTGTTTTGCCCTCAGGTGCTGACTCGACACCAGACAGACTCGAATTCATTGCAGGTAATTCATCCAGAAAGCACAGAAGCTGATCTGACGACTGTGTTTACAATAAGAACAATCGCCCTTATTATGCTCTGTCAGTTGTAAAAAAAAAAACACTATGAGTTCAGAATTCAAATTAGCCCCTTGGCAGCTATGTATCTCAGGTGCTTTGTACATAAGTGTGTGTGTGTGTGTGTGCATGTGCTTAATGAGATTAGCTTCCTGAGTGCTAGACAGCACACCTGTTTACCCTGAGGGCGTCGAGACTTGCTTGCCTGGGAATTTATTTTTGTAAACTGTGGGACAAAAGGAAGGCCTGCTGAGGTCATTTCTGTTTTGTATGAAATAAACTTTTTTTTTTAAACAAAATTTCTCGACATATACTTTAAGTGCGGCTTCTTGATACAAAACAGGCCAGCTCAGACTTAAGTGTGTGTGTCATTGTTTCACTTCCAACCCTGAGGGTCGACGTGGGAATGCATGATCTCCTTCACAATCGAGATATTGTAGAAGTACATGAAGGCATATCCACCGACACACTGATGCGTGTTCTGACCCTGACCTTTTGTAGTCATCTTCCTTTACACACCAACAGCTCATCACTGTAGCGCTCCTACACTACATCAGACTGTTAGCCTGGATCCCGAGGACATGTGATTGAGTAATGCTTCTGATTGCTGTAATTGTATTTAGAATAATTTTACAGCCAGTTCAGTCGGCCCAAAGAGTCTCTCCGTCAAATTGATTGCCAGGAAAATAAAAACCCAGGATGATACTTGTGTGAGACGCTACAGTACATGGCACAAATTATCACTGTATCCATTGGAAAGGAAAATATGTTTGTCTCAGTTTGTATGAGCTGCGTATGTTTACAATATATGAACTGTATCGAAATATTAATATGTAGTATGGTAACAGAGTAAAACTGAAACAATTCGTCAATCGGCAGAGAATTTATTTTAAAAGATTTGAGCAAATTGTTTAAGCTTTTAGATTTTGAGTCATGGTACATATTTTTTCTCTTTCCTGTAGTGCTATTTACGAATCTAGATTGTTCGGTGTGAGTCGCAGAGTGTTAAAGATATTGTTTGTAGAGATGTCTGCCTTCTCTTAAATACTGCAGAACTTGATGGAACTCAGCTTGTGGTGCCAGAAATACTTTTGAAAAACTTAACAGCAGTGTGTCTTTCCAGAAATCAAAACTGACAAATTCCTTCCTCTGAACGACACCCTCACACCGTATCTCCGTGCAGAAGGAATTGGCCTCTACTGCTAGCTCACATAGCACCACTGAGCAAGCTAACGTTACAGCTCAACCGATGAGGACGTCATTGTTTACATCTCGTCCTGTCACGAGGCTCACATCCATGAGTAGATGCACACTTCCTTCTGCACAGTGATACAGTTGATGGGTGTTGTTCAGTAGACAGAAAATAGTTTCTACATGAAACTGCTCACAACAAGGTCTGTGGATTATCTTGAGTAACTGGGTCATGATTTCTGGAAAAAGCGACATTGTTGTTCAGGTTTTTCAAATTTCTTTTTTGGCGCTTTGAGCACCACAAGCTGAGTGGCATCTAGTTTCATTACAGTTGAGAGAAGGCAGACATCTCTACAGCTGATATTGCCAACACTGCAACTCACCACAAAACAATCAAAGTTGATTCAGTGTGTAAGTCTAGTTTCTTTTGCCTGTTCCTCGCTCAACACGATTCTACTTTTCCACTTTTTCAAAGGAAATGACAGTCTCATCCTGGGTAATGCAGCCAGGATGCTCCTTCTTCTCGAAATTGGTTTGAGATTATTCCGTGTTGTCTTCCTCGTACATGTGGAGTTACAGGACCCAAATGTGTCCAGTTACTGTCAGTCTCACTTAAGGCTTGAGTATCTCATGATGTATCATATGTCCTGGACTTTGAATAGAGGGTGTGTGCCAAGTAAGGGCAAAGAAAAAATTCAAACTTAATGCCCCATCATGCCACGATTTGCATTTATAAATCATTTTATTGGTTTTACAGTTAGCATTTTGATGTGAAATGATCTGTTTCCATGGCAACAGTCCCTGCTCTGTAACGCTGAGATACACATTGACAGCTGGAGTGCATGGCACCAATACCAGTCCCTTCTGGCATTAGATGGCCATTTCTTTCCTCGTCGTCACAGCAATAGCACTGACATCTGAAGTGTTGACACACGCTCATTTTTTTTGCTGTCCAATAGAGATTGTCCTTTCTTTGTGAAAGGCCCAACATCAGGGACTCTTTCAAGGCCCCGAAATTTCCTCCTTTGTTGTCTTAACAGACTCGTGGAGGTGGGAGAATCATCTGAAGCTCCTCTCAAACTTATATAGGCCCTTTTCTCTTCATATTTATATGTATATAGTCCAGAACAGTCCACCAGGGTCTGTCTGATGATTGTACTTTGTCCATGTCACAAACAGACCACACTGCCATTTTGTCCACATCCCAGACAGTCTTGAGTTTCCCCTCTTGACTGTCCATCGATTGGTCCATTTGTCTGTCCAAAAGGCCACTAGACCAGAAACTCGATGCTTTCAAGCCTTTTTGTACATTTTGTCCGTCATTTTCAAGCTCTCTCCAGGTCTTTGTACTTCTTTCGGAGGACAGACACTTGATCTTTGAAGAGCACGGGGTCCAGGCGAAACTGTGAGTGGACCAGGGGCATGTAGCCAAACCAGTTGGCGAAGGTGTTGACACACTCCTGCCGCTGGTTGAAGTGCTCCGGGTTGGCCCAGGGGACACTCTTTGTACCCTGAGAGGTAGAGCAAGACATTTATCACCCACTACTGACCTGACATTTGAATCAACAGCATCCACAGGCTACAGCATTAAACACAAGCGAGACAGACAAATGGATACCTACCTGTGGACTGGGCAACTCTTTGTACTGCTTCCTTTGAGCCACTTTGATTGGCGGCAGGTGGGTTACAGCAGAGACCAGGAAGTTCATCAGGATGTCTTCGCAGTTGGAGGTGCGATCCACCAGAGTCCGCAGAGACTGGGGTAGGTAGTGGGAGAACAGGTAGTGGTAGTACCTGTGGGCCAGACGAAGCGTTACAGGCATGTGTATAATATATATCTTAAAAAAAGGTATAGGACATTTGTATCATAAATTTTTAACATGTAACATTTGTCACTTTTTGTTATCTCTGCTGAAAGTGTCACCATATCCTGACAGTAGTACATGAGACAGATAAAATTTCCATCGCCTCGTCATGGTGTTTCTAATGGCGAAGATTTCATCCCATGGGAACAAAAACAATTGCCTGACAGAATTGTCAATTTGTTACACTCCATTTCCATCTTCAGTCTGACATTCAGTCTTCGGTCTGAAAAAGTTCCACTTGAACACACCTCAAAGACTACAGCCAACGGCCAACTAGCACGTATGCTCTGCACCTGTGTGAACAACAACAACTCTGCATACCAGCAGGCTGCGGTAGTCTATATTCGTCATTCAAAAATGACTGTTAACATATTATCAACACAACCTGATGATGAAAGAACACATAATATTTACCACATGCTAGTGAGCAATCACACAAACAGTTACGAATTTCTGCTAAAGAGCTCAATAGAGTGCTCCAGGGATGACATTTTTTTGGAGGCCGACACAGAAGTTAGCATCAGCCTTGTTCCCTTCTCAAAAAGCTTATGGGATTTTTCTATTGGATTTTGGATTAGGTTCTTGGTTCTGCAAGATGATCTTCACAAACACCACTTCCATGATTTCTGAAGCCTAAATGAAATCACCAGAAGTAAAAAACTAACGTAAGGCTATAAGCGAACTACACCACAGTCGCATGATGTCAACGTCCCCACCACAATGAGGCTGTAAAGCTGCGTTTGGCATGTTGATGTTCTGTAGTCTCATTTAGCCACTTGTTAGCAACTGCCTTTTTAAAGACACAAAAAAGCTTCAGAATTCATGAGCAGCGTATTTACTGACGTAAAATGTGAAAAACTCTTAAGCTGGTGTTAATCACAGATTTTACTTCAGCCATCAAACCAAAAACCCCTTTAAAAAAAACAGTGACTTCAAAATGATGGAAGCAGGAGTGGCAAAATCCTAACTAATTTTATGGGTTTTAGGATTCATTCCTGGGGCACTCTAATCTTACCCTACATAACACATTTATTTTGATCTCACACCCTCTTGACTTTAGTCATTTGTTTGCTTTCCTCATTTTCAAGTCACTTCTCGACCATTGAGCTGAAATGCCAATCAGGGTGATTTTATTCAGCAATAGGCTCCGCCGTCTCAGACGCCGATTCAACATTCTGAATCAGCCGAATAAAGCAGACAAGGGCCGACGAGTGCCAACAGTGCGGGACACGCCACCGTAACAAGGGCGAAGCTCACCAACGGCCGGACACTGACCAACGGCTGACTGTTGTCTTGGTGTGTCAGGGCCCTAACACGAGATCACAGGGTCAACTCCCACAGCTACTTTGTTTGTCCACAAAAAAACAAGTTAGAAACACAAAGCAAATAAGCACATCATAAAAATACAAAACTGAAATGGGAAGAAAAAAAAAGTGCCCAACTGAAAACGGTTTAAAAAGTTAAGCTGAATTATAAGCAAACACTTGCTCTCTGCTTTCTTTAACAACTGTTTGTTATGCAGAACAGACTCGTCTGTTGATTTTGCTGCAGACTTTCACCACCCTGTTTATTTCTCTGTTTGACAACACGACAAGAATACCAACTGATAAAAGAAAATTTAAGTACTGAGTCAACGAAAGGTCTGACACGACATCAAAGACGTGTCAACATAAAACTTAGCCGGCTTTCTCAAACAAAACAAGACGCTGTTGGCTCTTCTTACAGATCATGTTGATATTATTATCAAAAGTTCACTTATTGTCTTAAAAGACGCCACGATTTCTACCTCCTGACCACTGAGCACAGTGCTCCCGGGATAACGGATCATTTCGATTTTAAAAAAGTAGGATTAAAAAAAACAAAAGAGCTGTTATTTTCTCACCTGAGATCTCTATTGTTCTTTTACTCACCTTACAGGAACATTTTGTCGCATCTGTCACCAGTGTGCAAAACCTCCCACTATTAGCCTCTAATCACAATTTTAACCTCTTTTACTCTCACTCACAGAACAGGAAATCTATCCAGACAAGCACAGCAGCTAAACACCGACAATAAAAATGTATCATGCAGAGTAAAGAGATCCTTACCATCTAATTTATCACAGGTGGAGGCCAGACAACCTGCACCTGTGTAGTAACAGGCATTGTAACATCTACAGAAAGGAGTAGATGGTGTGATGTATGTTGATGATATGTATCTGGGACATGTTAACCATTTCACCACCAGTGGGATTTGATATTTATAGTGCACAACAAACTCAACCCCTGTGGTACAATGCATATGTTCTCCCTTCCCTCGGTTTTGAAGACAAGAGATTTTAGTGCAGTGCTCTCAATGCAGCTGCTAATTACGCATTACATTTGTCAGACTCAGCACCTGTCACTGTCTTCTTTAAATGTCTTTTAATTGGGATAAGGAACTAAAATTAACCACATAACTTTATGTAAATTGGAGTTGCTGCTTTTTCCTATTGAATTTTGTTATATTTAATGTTTTTTGGTTTTTTTTGCAAAGCAGCCCTGCTGGGAAAAAGCCATTTGGTGTGCTATTAACTTTACCAATATAATATACAGTAAGCAATTAGATCATTTGTGTGTGAAAGACTAAATTGGGGGTTCTCACAATGAGCAAGGCAGGGTGTAACTGACTCACTGACAGCTCATTGTCATGTCTCTGTTTAAGTGGTGAAACATGTATTAGAGGTAATGCAGATGGGCCTTGCTCACATCCCTCTGGGCCGAACCTGCGAGCTGTAGAGATTCAAATTAGAATGACAAAAATGTGTGTTTGATAAAAACTGCTGACAAAAATGACCACTTTGACTCAAAACGTAGCAAAGGTTTCAAGAGCTGTAAAAGTGCCCTGCCTGTGAAGTAATTACGTTCATATTGTATAAGAGCTCACATCCCTCTGCCACTGCGCGTATCGACTTCAGGCTTTTTCGAATTAATCAAACAGCTTTAAGTAATCCCTGAGTAATTCACCCTCTCCTTTTCCTTTTCTCAACCATACTATAATTATCCTTGATACTGTTTCTTTCTGTGTGTCACCTTTTGCTGTTCACGGTGATGTTCGTGTCATGATGTTTGCGGCTGCTGATATTCATAAACGGTGTTAGGGGTGACGCGTTACAAAGTACATGTTACTGTAATCCCATTACATTTGTCTGTGAATGCGTTACTCTTCTCAATGTTCTTTAATTAAATGCATAATGGGCAGATAAAAAACAAATCATTAAACGTGCCGACAAATGTGATGCCCCCGTGGAGACGCTCTTCAGCCTCTTCACAAGGTAAAACGGCTGCTTTAGTGATAAACACCTCATATTAACTGGACTGATTTACTATAAAGCCACGGTTTAGTGAGCGAGCGACTTGAGTACGTGTGTTTGCTCCATTAAATGCAGTTCATATGCTGCTTGAATGTGTAAAGTCTCATCTAATGGTGTTAGGAAGGTCAGTCTCATATTATTTTATTTAAGCATACTGATATATTATTTTTAGGTGATTAATATTTGTACGAGGCAGTGTTAGGAAGACCAAACTCTTTTAGTTTATTTTGAGGTAGTTACAGCCTATTGCAGTGCCGTGTTGTCTCTCCTCTTGAGACTTGTTCTGTGCTGATATGTGGGCATGTATAAGGTTTAACGTTATATTGTTAAATTGCAGTTAGCTACATGACGATGCATCTCAGGTGAAGTTGTCTAGATTTAGGTGTGCGCACACATATGCAAGCATACTTGTTATAAGTTAATAATGAAATAACATCTGAGAGAAAAAATAGTAGCTCTAAACGGCATGTCCTGTTTTTAGCTGAAGCTAGCGATGTGGCTACAGGGATGGCAAGGTTTGTCAGTCGGGTCAGGACTGAAATATCTTAACTACTACTGGATGGATTGCAGTGAAATATTGTACAGATGTTCATGGTTCCCAGAGGATGAATCCTTGTGACTTTGGTGAGCCCCTGACTTTTTCTCTAGCGCCACCATGAGATTGACATTTGTGGTTTTGGGTGAAACATCTCAACAACTAATGGACTGATTGTGGTGAAATTTGATCCTGACATTCTTATTCCCTAAAGGCGCATTCACACCAGGATAGACCAGGGGACTTGGTTTGATTGGGTGGGGAATGTCGAAAAATTTCACACCTTCATTTGGTTCGGTTCACTTTCACACTGCACTTTTTAAAGTGGACCAAACCGCCGACACAACGTCAAGCAGTTACAACAGCTGCTCGTTTGGGGCCGGTATTGCCCAAAACAACCACTGACCAGGAAGTACAAAAGCATGAGGAAGAAGAAAACTCGGCTCATTGATTGGCCAGGACCGAAAACGGAAATCCAACCCCTTCAGTCGGCTTGGTCACCACAAAAACACCAAACACCAAAATGCACTGCACTCCGAGTCACTTCCTCTCTTTGGTTCACTTCCTCTCTTTGGTTTGCTGGATAGTCTGTTTGCATTTCCCACTGTAAGCGAACCGCACAAGGGTTCACTTGCAAGTGAACCGAGACCCCCAGTTTTCAAGTGGACCAGGGTTCACTCTAACTGTGGAAGCGGACAAGGGTTCATTTAAAGTGGACCAAATAGCGCCAGTGTGAATGCGTCCTACGAGACCCTTTGGTGATCTCTTGACTTTTAGTTTAACGCCATCATCATTTCACTTTGTCCAATAACTTGCTTTAGTCACAGGAAATTCACAATCACATTTTCCAGGCCTGGAAAAGTCATGGAATTAGTAAAAAATAGTTGAAAGTTTTGAAAAAGTCATGGAATTTTGTTGTGTGTTACGACATTGTTATAGTAATCTTCCTTGGATAAGCTTCCATGTAATGTAACATAACAGCAAATTTATTTTCCAAAGCTGTTGACGTAACAGCTGTAATATGCATAGATGTGTGACAACATTTTGTTTACCATCACGTACATGTCTTCATGTTATCCGGTCTCACCCTTCATGTTTACCAGTTAGCTGAAATTATGTTCGAAAATGCTGAGCAAGTGGGGCAAGAAAAAAAGTTTGTCAGGCATGGGAAAGTTTTGAAACTTTGTCCATGGAAATGTGTGGGAACCCTGCTTTATGAACAAATACCTACAAAACCATGGCATACCCATCCTCTGCTGCAGTTTTTTAAAAATACAAACCTGTGACACAATAAAGAAAATTGACAGCTCAGCTTTTTTAACTATGAACCAAGATTATGGAATTCTCTACCCAAGGGCATAAGAGATGTAGCTCTGTGAACAAGTTTAACAATTGAAAACATTTATTCAGCGTTGCCTTTGATTAACTGTCACTTTTGTCTTTTTCTTATCTTTTACATGTTTTATTCTTCATGTGCCGTCCTTGTTTTTATCCCTCACATATTCAATTGTTTTAAGCATAGCTGCTCTTGCTATGTGGTGTCTCCTTTGTTTGTTATTCATATGATTGGTTTTATCTTGCAGTATTTGCCCTTGCTTTAATTTTTATTCTTGTTTCTTCTCCTCATTGTAAAGCAATTTGAGCTGCACCTGTATGAAAGGTGCTATATAAATAAAGATAAGTGTATAATAAGAGGCTATGTATATGTATATGTAGAACAAAGCTCTAAATGGCATATTGGAGTTGGTGTGTTATATTCTGTTGGTGTACCTGTGGTAGAAGGCAGCTCCAGTCAGGACGATGGAGTAGTCATTGGTCCATTTAGAGGTGTAGCCCCAGGCACGCTTCAGGGGATCCCAGAAGTGGCTCCTGGGAGGGTAGCCCACAATCCGTTCAGGGAAGCTCCGCCACACCAAGAAGGCAAAGTTCACCTACAAGTACACACATGGAACACTCATATATTGTTGCTACTTTTTCTGGAATATTAATTATTTATATGTGTGCAGTTCTGCTGTGTGTTTATTACCAACACGTGCACAAACACACACACACACACACACACACACACACACACACACACACCTCACTGGTCAGCAGCACTGTATCCTCATCCAGACTCAGCACTGCTTCTGTCTCTATGGCAACGTGAGGTAGGAACCGACTGGTGGTCTGGGAGAGAAATACAGTAATTAACCGTAGTCCTGGTACTGTAGGCTATATGTTGTCTGGCCTGTGCTCGGAGAGATTATGGGACTGAGTGAGAGATGATCATGTTACAGTGAGTTATGTTGAGTGACTGAGATGAGTGGATCACTATAGATTTTGCCTTGGGAGATAAGAAAAAAGGCAGAGGGTGAAAGGGACACGGAGAAGAAATGTTGAGGATGAGTGACATTTATGAAACCGAACGCCACACGGATTGGTGGACATGTCAGATATACATGGATAGGAAGAGAGACAGAGAAAAATAGACATCAAAGAGAAGGACCAGTGAAATTGAGTAGCACAGATAGAGAGTGAAAGAAAGAGATACATAAACAGACTGAGCGGCTGACAGTTTGTCATGCTGTCACTCAGGCGTCAGAGCGGGCTGCAGTGTGAGCTGTGAGGGGCTCTGGCTCTCACCTTCCTCCTGCCGTCTGTTACTGTGAGGGGGACGGGCATGGGAGGCCATTTGCTCCGACTGGGTGGCGGCTTCTCGCTGTTCCAGAGAATGATGATCTGTGGCGGGAGAGGAATTTTACATAGAACAGACAGATTTAGAGACATTAGATTGATCAAAAATAACTGCTGACATCTATTAACCTGTAGGTGTTGCAAAGGAAGCTTCCTTTACTTCCTTTTTCTTTTATTTGTGGCTACATTATATTCATTTCTTTACCTGCGAGCAGTATTTTGACTTGGAGACCACCTGAAGCAGCTTCATGATTGGCTGAGACTGGGAGACCAATGGGGAAACAGCATGGATGACAGCAGTGAACTCTTGACCTGGACTGACACCTGGACAAGGTCACAAAAAATAATATAAAGGTAATGGAGAGTGTGTTACCTGCTCTGTGATATGCGAAATATATAAAAGCGTATCTGTATCAGTCCAAGGATCATCAGAACAATTTGAAGCTACTGTGTTAAGATTCTGAAAATTCACATTTCTGGTGCTCGCCATTGGTGGCATCAAAAAAGAAATTCATGCTGCTGACTGGACATATGAGCCCCTTTATCACTGGACAAAAAAACACTAACACCGATTTTCATCTTTAGTGGGAAAGGTTGCAATCGGCTTTTACTCCTATGACAAATGACTGCAGTAGTTATGGGTATGTATCAGCTCCAGCTCGGATTGACAGTGATGGAAAAATGATACCCAAGTGGGCGCCCTAATTTTTGATCCTTTTCTCCGTCCACCAATTTCATCTGTCTTCGTCCAAGCAGCACTCAAACATCGTTCAGTTGAACACGACACACCAAAAAAAACAACAACAGAAAGGCGTACTTGCCTACTGGCAATGGGCAAAGAATCTATTGCCTATTTTTAGCAGGGTTTTCAGTGTTAAAATGGGCTAATTTCGGTGGAAAATGGGATCTATGGACTGCACCAAATCACATAAAATGTACACAAAGTGGCTGCAAATAAACTGAAATAACAACCAGGGTTTCAACAGTTGTGAAGTACCTGAAAAAGTTCTGAAATTAGAAAACTGTTTTCCAGGACTGGAAATAGTCTGAAATTAACAAAATGTTTTGGAAAAGTTTTGAATCTGCAACATTTTGACTATTGTTTAAAATTTAGAAATCTCAAAACATGTCTAACTTTACAGAAAATAAATTCCTTATATTACTAATTTAAAATCTAGTGCTGTGCTGTGTGACCGTTGCAACGTCACCAGTTTCATGTGATACACATGACCAGACCTGCACCTGTGTCATCGTCAAGGCTGCGCCCCCTTTTGAGTGAAAGAAGGGAGGTCACATCAGAAGAGAAACAGAAAAATGCTAAATGCTAATCCTTTCAGCTCGAGTTAGCAAGTGCTGACAATTTGCATATCCACTAATGCCTAGGATGTGCGTGTTTAATAATGAACCCATTTTAAACAACTTAAATAAAGTCACAGAAATGAAAAAGTTTTGGTAAAAATGTGTGGGACCCTTGAAAAACCAACCTTATATATTACAGCACAGATTGCAAAATTAAAACTAATACAGACAAGGACTTCAGTAAACATTTGATTATGATTTGGTGGTTGAGTGTTGATTGCTCATCTCCCTTTTTCCAAAGCTCTGGTATAATAGTCTCATCAACATCCTTGATGTGCAATCAGGATTTGCATGTTGTGCAGACTCATTCAAATTAAGTTGAGTTTGTTTACCTAATCCCAGGTAGTAGAAAGGGAAGTGTGCAAGGTGAGTGGAGTACTCTGGCAGGACCAGCAGGCCTCCTGGCAGGGAGTTCCACATGTACTTGTTCCTCGAAATGTGGGAGAACACACGGTCCTTAATGATCTGAAAAAGGTAGAAGTTGGATGAGGTTTGCAAATTGCGAAGCAGAGAGAACACATTTGCTTTGAGTTGTTAAGTGGCTGTTGTGCTCATGTAGTACAAGCCTGCACCACATTCATTTTCTCCCTCTAAGCTGGTGGATGAGAGTCTTGGAGCTTAATGTAAACTGCAATTGGAGACCTGACACACTTGTGTTTGCATATTACAGCAATCCCAAATGATATGCTCTGTGCACTTCCCATTTTACACCAACAGGAGGTGTCCACACAGCAACGGCGGCATCCACGCTTCTGAGGCCCTCTGCCTCACTGACCTCAGGCTGACTGCACAGCTGTCTCCCATGGGGAGAGGTTCCCCTCTGCATGCTGTATGTATATAAGCAGCTTATCACCAACCTCCAGAACCTCTCCTTTATTATCTCTAGCATAAATCCCCAGCAGCAAATACACTAGGGGGCTGCCAGACTTCCCTTTATGAACATCAGAGTGCACAGCCTACCAGTGTGTGATTTCTTCAGATTTCAGAGGGTTAAATCTGTTGTTTCCTCACATTTTTCATGTGCTAAAATTGACACTGGCAGTGTGTGCGCGAGAACTGCTCATATGAGGAGGTTGTTATTCCTTTTCATGCATCTGCTAACCCTTGGGCTAACCTTCAAATGACATTCTCTTAGCTGGAGCACCTTTGAAGTACATTTCTTCTCAGCTTCTTCAAAGACAGCAAAGTAAAACAAAAGATGGACGAAGAGAGATACATGTATGAGCAAGGCTGGATGCTGGAGCTGTGAAAATCAGGGAGAATAACCAGAGCAGCTCCCTGTTTCTTCTTTATGTTGCAACAACTCTTTCAAAGATGAAACTTTTTTTCTGAACCTGACCTGTAGCGGTGAAAAAGAATTATTTCTTCCAGCCTGATAACAGCGAGCAGTGAGGCAGAAACTGGCAGGTTGAGACTGATATTTTCAACGTAATGATATATCATTTCTATATATTAGGGGATTTTTCTGAGACTTCAGGCAAATCGGATGTGGACTGCTTTGAAATGCTCGCTACAGACCTACGGTACAACACAGGGCTGAGGTAGTAAAAGAGTAGAAATGTAGAGCAGGGCCAAGGTCCAACCCCATAATCATAATGATAGGAGGGTGGTTTGATTCAAATATGAAAAGCCTTTCTGGAAGGGGACTGATGACAGCACACAGGCAGTAAACCACAGAGAGGTAGCAACTATGGCTGTGTGCTCAACAGAAAACCTGTGTTTATAGCAGTGGCTTCTTTTTGTAGATGTTTTCACTGGTTGCTGCACATTCCTGAACTGAATTGTATGGTAGCAAAAACGAAAAGTATTCAGAGTTATAAAACATTTCAATTAGGTTTCTCGTCAGTGCTTGTCAGCCAAAAGCAATGGGAGATGGACACAGACATCCTGGTGATGGCACAAATGGGTCAAAGCTAGGATTTGATCTGATACAGTGAAAGTTAAACTGACTTATTATTAGAGTTAAAGGAATACTTCACTCCCCATTACTCACCCTGTGTCATGCTGAACTCTAGAAGAATTTGTTTTTCCACATGCCTCCAAGGTGAGCAAAGAATCTAAAAAACTCATGATGAACTGAAGCCATAGGCAACCATGTCTAACAACAGCAAAACTAAATCAAAATATCTGTTTACAAACTCTCACACAACTCATGCAGTATGAATCAAATCTCATTTATTTATATATACTTTTGCCTTGCTGAACACGGGAGCTGCTGGTCTACTGCAACCTCATTTGTCAGTTTTGTTCTGATGTTTGTTTATGTTCATGTGACTTTGATAAATCTGAGTTAACCCTTTAAAACACCAAAATTACACTTATTGCCAAAGACTTTTCTGACTCGTTCTTTTTTGGTCATTTTATTTTAAATTATTGTAGGTTGTCTTTAATCATTTAGCACTCCTTAACTATGTTTCATTTACATTGTGAAGGGTCTAGATGGGGAGTGGATTTAAATCTCTCAAGCCTTCTTTTGTAACTCCCCGATGATTTTTATGATAGTCAGCAGCATTACCTAAAATAACCAACATGGTTCTCGGTGAAGATTCTCAGTCATCCAGGTTATGGTAATCATAAGTGCTATATCATAGGCAACTGGACTTGCTTGAGTTTCTTGAAGATGTTTCGCCTTTTGGATGAGAGCTCAAGTAGCTCAAATTTTTCAGCAAGACAGGCAAAAATATTGTAAAATATGTTGTCAGCACACTGGTAAATCTAGCTAAACCTTTAAAACACCAGTCACACAAACAAACTGACTGATTGATGTGGCAGTAGACCAGCAGCTTCTGTGTTCAATGAGGTAAAATTATTGTTTTTGACAATGGAGTCTGGCTTTAAAGATAGTTACGTTTTACAATGACTTCAATTCATCAATCACTTTCTCCTTTTTTGGATTCTTCATTCAACATGGAGGCATGCAAGAAAAAAAAGGTTTCTTTACAAATTCAGCGGAACACAGGGTAAATAATTGATTTACAAACAGATTTTGAAGCAAAAAAAAAAATTGCTGTGGAATTTTTTGCATTGCAGGGCAATGGTGACATTGCAGCCATTTTTCCACAGGTTTGTTGACTCTTTTATAGTTCGATTCACCACATGAGAAATTCTGTTGCTGTCAGAAATTCCTGATATCTCCAATTAGGAATTACAAGTAACAGGCTGACGTGAACATATTCCCTGACTTGGTCGCTCATACGTCTTTTGAATAAACTTATTGTCCTGTAACAAAAAGAGCTAACTGGCAGTTGTTTTTTCGCGACCAAACAGCAGGTTTGTTTAACTTTTCCTCCTCTTTGATAACTATTTTTTTTTAAAGAAATAATGCTCAGTCCTGAGGGAAAAAATACCAGTGGCAAGATATGGCACAGTATGGAAAAAAACTGCACTAGCATGTTCCCAGCTGCCTAGTGTGTCAAGAGGTTAGCTCAGCGGCTACAGTAGTTCACCAACCAGCCCTGTGGGTAGTCATTGCATCAGCCAAGCTTCTGGGGCAACATATTTTATAAAGACTTTCATCCTGAATGTGTTATGGTTGAGTCTAACCTCCAGTGTGGTGAGGACTATCTTGTCCACAGAAGAGAAGTAGGCTTCCCACAGCATCTGGGTCCTCTGTCTGAGGGCCAGGACTCTCTCATTCCCCACCGCTCTCACTGTGGATGGCACCTGCAGACGAAAGATGAGAAGAGTCATGCAGTGAAATAAATTTAATAGAACAGAGAAAAATAGCCACAAAGAGTTTTACTTTGGTTTTTAAAGCGAGTCGTGTCTCTTAAAATAGACTAGAAAGGAGAAAAAGAAAGAAATAGCATTTAAGTGATCAGAACTGTGTAAACTGCATCGAGTGGTTGCTTAATCTGGCCTCTTAAAAAACACATTTGACACAGAGCTGATTTGGGGTCTGCTGTTCAGATAATTAGACCTTAATTAGTAAGGACCACATTCGGGGGTTTCAAGTGAATCACCAAAATTGATTTAATCACTTAGAGAGTTAAGCTCAGCGGCTCAATCAAAGTGGAAGAAAGCCATGTTGAACTGAGGAAAGTGGGAGCAGCGGACTCCTTTAAACCCTTTTGTCTTCACACGGCTAACACATTTTCTAATGAGCGCCAGTTAAAGAAACCAGGAGGCCGCTAAATCTCTTTTTCTCGCCTATATTTTAAAATTCAACTTTGTTCTTTCAATCTCTCAATTTGTCTTCACATATCCCCCTCCCTCCACATTTCATTACTTCACCTTGCTCCCACTTTCTCCCTGTCCTTACGTTCTTCCTTTCTTTCCCCAAAGTACATCTGAAGGACAGTCTCACTATAGCGTCGCCGTCAGGTTGTCTGAAGTGTCTGCCCCCACTCAGCCTCCTCTGCAAGAACCTCACACTCCTTAACCCCACATCATAGACTGTGTGAATATTTGCGTGCGTATTATAGAGTTTTGCAGGTGTGCAGAAATGCCACTGATGAGGTCAGCTCATTCGGTCCAATTCTGCCCTAATTTGAAAATGTCTCCCCTGCTCTGAGCTCTCGAGGGCTTGTTCGTTCCTGTTCATTAGCTGAATGCCAATTCATGTCCTCTATTGGTCAAGATCAATGCAGAGGAGACATGATGTACCTTGTGTGAGGGAGAGTGATAAAGGTTGTAGCTGAGGCTGAGCAGGCTTTGCTCATTGTGTTTATTTGTGTGGATGTGTTTGTCTGTGTGAGGAGAGACAGAGGATAAGTGAGCGAGTGCTTTTGAACTGAAGCTGGATTAAGGTCTCTATGGGTGTTTAATATGAAAGGGCCCCCAACTTGTAACTGCACCGTTTGATACAGGTAAACAAGAGCCAAAGAGATGACGTCATGTCCGAGCTAGCCTCTATTGTAGTAGCTTCTGTTACTCAATTCCATCTCTCATTTAGTGACTATGCGCACTTTCAACTCAAGGTACAGCCTCTATATGCGGCTGTACAGAGGAAAATATTGACCTGGATTACGCATAAATAACCCAATTTGTATAGGTGTAGATTTTGGGGGATGCAGGGGACAATGGGAAAGTCTAACACAACCTCTGATGGTATGTGTCCACGGGGGCATTTTCTCAATACGAGGCCACTTCCCAGCATTGGACGCTTGATTGGCGTGCCACTGGGCCTGTGGGCTGTCTGCTCCCAGATTTTTAACCGGACCAACTTGGTGGCTCTTTTGGAAACTTTCTCATGACAACAGTTCACTGAAATGTGTTTCTGAATACATCTGAGGCAAGATGTAAGTCACGAAGCTGCTCAATCTGTCTTCATTTTAGATTGACGATGCTTACTTGAAAAGTTGCTCGATAGTTTCCAGAGGTGCCGAGTCATGCAGGATGCCCCTGATTTGCATAAAGCAGCCTAGATTCAACTTTATGCAAATAAGGAGCTGGCAGCCCATCTCTTGAAACCCAACACTGTGCTCAGGGCTGTATCACTGTAATCACTGTAGTTACGCGCATAAAACAGAAGAAAATGACCTGAGGCATAAAAAAGTTTTACAGTTAAAGGCATGTAGGGTGAGTGAAACTTAAACTGCTATGCAGCACTGTGCACTGTGTTGGTTTAAAATAGAAGCAAACCTGTACTGTTCGATACACGTGAGATAAATGACTGAAAAACATGGCTGGAAGATGTGTAGATATTGATTCCTTGAATTTACTTTAAGTACTCAGGTGCACAGTCAGCAACTCATTTGCATTTTCTTTCATTTTCTTTCTATTACTAGAATCATCCTCTGAGGTTTTCTTAACACAAGATGAACTCATTCATTGCAACACAACTGAGACATGACTTTTGGGTGTGTGCCAACACAAAAACTGCTCATCCTCCCCTCCAATAGATTTTAACCTTACCTTTAGATATCCTAAAGGTCAATCCGGCCATCAGGATGCCATAATTGTGTGTCTGTGTTGGTGTGCACCTTTAAATGAGCATGATTAAATGCCTCAGTGTGTTACCTGTAGTAGTAATCTCTCATCTCCCTCAATGACCGCCTGGTTCCACTGTATGACATCAGAGAACGGCAGCTCCCAACCATTACTCAGCAGCACTGGGATACACGCCGCCTGGACACACACAGGTATAAGAATGTAGAGAGTCTTAAAGAGACAGTGACACCCATAATCCAACTGATAACACACAGAGCACACTGCACAATTGCATATATATCCCTTTAATTGTGATCAGCTGCTGGGTTCCTTGCTTGCTGCCAGCTCATCTTTGGCAGTAAACATTATAACATGACATGATACAGCTGCACGAATATAATGCAATCTGTATGAGTTCAGGCCCAGCTGCTTGGCACTGTGATATCCCAGGCCGAGCAGGCAATGTGATCAATACCCATGTGTGTATGAGCAGCTGAGTGTGAGTGTATGAGACTCCAATAGGTTGGCTGGAATGAGTAATAACTCCTATCTCTTCTTTCCCAGGGAGCCCTGGAGGTTTGTTAGAGACTGTCACTCATACACATGCACACTCAGATGTGGCTGACTCTTTGTGTACTAATTGCTTACAACCACTGAGGGGACATATGCAGGGAAGGAGGTAAAGTGAAGAAGAAGAGAGGGATGAGGGAACGGGAGGAGAATAAGAAGGAACCGGTTGCACATGGAGGCATCATGCTTTATTAAAGGCGATTTTTGATGTTGCCTTATCCCCTCGCTTACTGACAGGTTTTTGATGTTGTTCCACTTTTTTTTTTTTTTTGCTTTCTAATCCCTCCTTTGGTCTCCCCCCTCTCACTCTGGGTTTCTCTCTCTCTTTGCTGCATTCTCATCCCATTCTACTCTCTTCCTCTTTCTACTCACAGTGGTCTGGAGTGTTGATAGGTCCAGGTGTTTTTTTTGTTTTTTTTTTTACTTTTTTTTTTCTAATTAAACCACCAGAGAACAGCAGCAGCGGCAGCAGAAATTGGTGGAGATCAAACGCTCTCTCTGGCCCACCGGGGCTTCCATACTACTGCATTTCATCCGAGAATAAACCTGCTGAAGGACACTCAAACAAATAGGGAGGCTTGTATGTGTGTGTGTGTGTGTGTGTGTGTGTGTGTGTGCGCGTGTGTGTCAGAATGAGCTGCAGGTTACAACGAGGTCACAGGAAGACTCCCAGAGTGATAATCCAAGGCCTCTAAATTTGAAATGTGGCCCACGGCTTGCCTGAGTCTTCTGCCGGAGAGACGAGGAACTGTGAGGTTAGTTTCAAACCTTTAAAGCCCTCCCTGCCTGGAGATGGGGTAATAAGAACGCCTGTGTGCTGTGTAGTTGTTTTTGGTTTGTTTGCATTGGGAGATAGAGAAGGGGGAGGGTTTAAGTAAACGTGTGTGTGCAAATGTGTGTCTGTGTGTATATTGGAAAGCTGGCAGCAAGTTTCCTACCACACTGGTACTGGTAATTGCCAGTTCTTTTGTGGGCTTGGCTGGCACCAAAATAAAAAAAAAATACACAACCGAAAAATCTTGAAAAAGTGCCTCCAATGGAAAAAAGAGAGAGAAGGGCAGGGAGGAAAAGACTAGGAGAGAGAAAGAGAGGACAAAGAAAAAAGACAGGAGGAGAAAGGGACCATGACTGCTGCCTGCTGCCAAGCCAAGTGGGTTGTGTGTGTGGATTTGTCCATTCAGCAGACATCAGCGGTGGGGCAGGCTGCCACTCCTATGGATGCTTCCGGACCATTCATGCACACACACACACACACACACACACACACACACACACCCACACCCCGGAGAGCAGTGTGGCCAGGGAACACTGTAGCAGCCAGAGGGTTCAGTGTACGGCGAATCTAAAAACAGCCACTACTGCTTCCTGCACTGGTGTGAGACCGTCGACTTGGGTGGCAGAAAGAGAATTACAACAGACGGTCTGGTTTTAACTGTCCTCTCGCCCCGCTGCCTTGGCGGTTTCTCCATTGTTTGTGTACTTGTACATATTCACTGATGGACTTAAACGAACGGTTTCAGTGTTTGTGTAAGTGTGTGTGTGTGTGTGTGTGTGTGTTAATGGACCCATTGTGCTTTAAAAGGCCTTGCAAATAGCAAATAAAGCCTTTATGGTCAGATCTGCACTCAACACAACACAATGGTCTGGGGGAAAAACACTTACAGATGTGACCATTAAGGTGTCGATAACCAAAAGACTACATAAACCACGGCTCTGGAACATAAACATTCTGCATCCTGTGCACTTCCTTGTTGACCCAACTGTATACGAACTCACTGAATCAGAGCCATTTCCTGGAAATGTGTAATTTGGTCCCTCTAACAGTGTTATCCAGAGGAAAATGCTGCAGCTAATGTTGTTAGGATGATTGCTGTGTTGGCATGTAGTGCATAGAGATTTGAGCTGTTGTTTATGTGGGCCTCTGAGACACTGGAGTTGTAAGTACTCTGACAGGAACACAGTGTGACAAAGAATATAAATCAGTGTTACTTGTCAGTGCTATGTTACTGTATTTGACACAGTATTGCTACAATATTACATAATGTCAATTATTGCGTGTGGTGCACAGTAGATTATGTGATGGGCTAGTTAGGGTTTTCTTAAAGGGACAGTTCATCCCAAAATCAAAAACACATTTCTTACCTCTTACCTGTAGTGTTATTTTTCAGTCTAAATTGTTTTGGTGTGAGTTGCCATGTGTTGGAGATACTTCCTTTTGTGCGGCGCTACAGTTAGCATGTGTAGTTTGATGCAAAGAAAATAGTTCCTACATGAAACTGCTCACAACAAGGTCTGTGGATTATCTTGAGTAAATGATTTCTAGAAAGAGACATTGCTGTTGAGTTTTTCAAATGTATTTTTGGGCACTTTGAGCACCACAAGCTGAGTGCCATCTAGTTCCATTATACTCAAGAGAGGGCAGATATCTCTAAGGCTGATATCTCCAACACTCTGCAACTCCCACCAAAACAAACTAGATTGATAAACAGCACTACAGGTAAGAGGAAAAATATAGATTTTTGATTTTGGGGGTAACTTTCCTTTTAAAGCCCTGAAAACTGCGTGATAAAAGTCAAATATTGACAAATCTAGCAGCTGTGGTGGCAGACTTGAACTGAACACATTCACACTGACAGTGGAAGCAGAGATGTTTCGGTTGATCACAGTACCGTTGGTAAAAAAAGCTGATTGAAATAGGTATTCGAGGCCTTCAAAGTTGAAGAATACAGGTCTACAGCATGATCATAATGCTAACCAGACTTCAATGATGAATACTGGTGGTGGTGTGTATCACATTGAGAAATATGTAATTACCTGCAGAGACTCTAGGAAGCGAAAGGAGCCCAGACGTCGACCTCGAGGCACCAAACAGAAAGTGGAGTTGTGGAGGAGCTCCTGGTAATCAAACCTAACAAAGAGAAGAACGATTATAATACATTAATCTATGTCGTTCACTTCAGTTTATTTGAGCAGAAAAACAGCAGAGCATGTATATAAGCAGAAAAACATAAAGAATACAGGACTTAACAGAATACAGCAAAAGACCTTGAGGCTTAGTTGTTTTTAAAAGCAGGAATGAGAATGGGGTAAAGTTTAAGATGAATCTCTCAAGCTGTTCTGAAGAGTAATAATTGGTTCAATAGGATAGTCGTGTATACATATCCTGTAAGTGCATGCAAATATGTACTAGAGGCAGAGTAAGTATGAGTAAGTATGTGACCTGATCTAGTGTTCATTTTTTCAGCTATTTTTTTTATTTAGTCTTGTCCGTGTCTTGTTTCCCGGCTGCTGAGGGGAGTGACAGGGGTTAGCTCCGGAGTGAGCATCGACTACGTCCCTGGAGACAAAAACAAAGTGTCTCCCCTGTGCTTTCCGACCATGGTCAGAATTGAAACTATATTCCTGAACAAAACAGTCTAAATATTTAAGCTCCTCTTTTTTGTCAGTTTGAACTACATTTTAGTGATGTCTTTTTCATCAACAAAGTGTCGGTGCCATCTAAGTATGTTTGTCATCGTCTCATATTGGTCTTGGCAAAAAAGGTAATTGATGAACATATTTGTCGTAGTTTTTGCTAACAAAATTAACACCAACTTTATCTGGCTGTCAAGATATATTTTTCTATTAGCACATTTCTTAAAATGCACTTCCAATGTGTTTAGATAGATGCTAAGACATAGGTTTTTTACATTTACACCATAAATTGATGCAGAAAAATTCATCAGAATGCAGGAAATCAACCCCCAACTCCCCCATTTCACGCTTGGACATCAGAAACTCTTGCCGACAGTGAGCCTCTGGTTGGCTGAAACTGAGATAAAGCATAGGAATACCATTTCTGGGAGAATGCAATACACACATTAGTTTCTTTTCGTTTTACAAAGCTAATAATCGTCAAACACTTAAAAGTTAAAAAAGGAATTAAAGTCAGAGGAGAGTTTGCTGTTAAAACAAGAAAAGGGAGCAGGAGGAGAAGAAGAGCTTTTAGGAAAAATTGACCAGTGTCCACTGAAATGTCAGCGATCAATATATTGATGTGTGGCAGATGGCAACAGAAAAGCACCAGCTCCAAAGTACTGAAATAACTACATGATTGCGAAAAGAAATCTCATAAATAGCCTGCCAGTGTGGCAACACATGCCTTGTTTGATATATATTTAACATCTGTCACACATAAAATAAACCAGGACTTTAGTGGCTTTCTATTTCTGATATTTAGTCATAATGGTTCTGATTATGTGCAGTAATAAATCTTCCAAGGCCTCCCCCTTTCACTGACACATTGGCACCGCTACAGATAGCTACTGTATGGTGGAAAATATATCCATCACTGAGCTCATGAGTAAATATGCTCTAATCTCTGTTCTCTATTGATTTGTGTTGTAGACAAGGAGGTTTGAACTGGTGCCAAAGTAAGAAATTTCGAGTGCACTACTCCCACTGGCTGCTGCCATACGTCACCCTCGCCGAGCTCCGCCACTTCATCCTCATATTTCATACTCGCGCTATGAAAAAGAAGCCAAATGGAAACCTCTGCATCAATGCTCGCCTTCATCTGCTGAGTGGAACAGCAACGGACGGGCGGTGTAACGGTCTCACAGTAAAGAACTGCACAGTGGAGTAAACAGATGGGGAGACAAACAGGCTCTTATGGGAGAGTTCACTCTGCTCCTCACCCCCTCCTCTAGGTCCTGCTCTCTCCTCTCTGTCCTCTCAGCTCTCGCTCGTCTCTGCAACCAGCTCTCTGCTTGTTTATTTGCAGAGGCGATGTCAGTGTAAAATATGCCTGCCATTAATCTTCTCACTCACTTAGTCATTTATTTAACCCTCCGTGAGCGACGAGATGCAGGCCTCTCTTTGCTCCCTGGATGAGAAAATTGGAGATTTCATTGCTGATGATGGCGGCAATTAACACTGCTACACTCAGCCCTGGACATCAAGATCTGAATGAATGTCACTGTGTGAGTGTGTGTTCAATATGAGCGTGTCAAAACATGCCAAATGGACACACACATACTGTACACAAACACTAGTGTCAGTTTACTGAAAGGCGGCCTTGTTTGGCCACGGTTCTGCTCTGATACTCCTCCACCTGTTGATAGAGCTTTGCTGTTGCCACTGCTGTGCGTATACATGTGTGCGTGGGATGGATTCGTGTGCAGCAGCAGCACAAATCTCCAGCATGGAGCGTTGATGTACATTTGTAACGAATCCCCGAGCCAAAACATCAATCACTATGGTTAAAGAGATTTACACAATGTATTTCTGAGGGATTTTGTGTCCAAATCTAGCACTAAGATTGGGATTTAGGTTAACACATCCTTTTAGCTATGCATGAGTAAATAATTTTTGTAGATTTTATCTGTAAAGATGTACAACTCCTCTGTGTATTAATGTGTTTGGGCCACGGGAGTAAATAAATGTGTAACTGAAAGTGAGCATTTATAAGTTACTATATTTACTTCCCCTTGAGTAAATATTGTTTTGTTTGGGCATATTGGAGTGAGAATACATTAATACTTTTCTGGTTATGCATGTGTGTGCAAGTGCTGTGTCTGTATGTGTAGTATCTAATATGAGACAGTAGGGACCTCTTGTATGTTGCAAGTGTAGTGAGACTGAGCTGGTTAGTCTGACCCACTTCTCTCTCTCTCTCTCTCTCTCTCTCTCTCTCTCTCTCTCTCTCTGTGAGTGCTGTTTGTGTGTGTTTGTGCATATGCGTTTTTGTGTATTTGATGACGTATGGCTACAAGTCAGCTTGTGCATGAAGTATGTATGTGCACCAGTTGGTCTGTCTAGCTGGCTAGTCTCCCGGCTGCTGTTCCTCTTTAATGAGGGAATGTACTTAAATACAGGGAACAAGTAAATCATTTAACAGCACTTTGTTTCCAACAACAAACGACCAGGCCTGCTGTGTCTCTCCTTCACCCCCCCTCTGTCTCCCTCTGCTTCGTATCTTCTTGTGTTTGTTGCTGTGTTGTGTCATACACACTGAACACAATTTTAAAGGCAAGACTTTTGTTTTTGCACCCATTTTTTACAGGTTAAAGTTAGAGATCTAGGAGTTTTTTATGCACACACAAGAGTCACCATCTTGAGTGTGCAACTGCTCACCTGGGTGTTATGGTATGGGCTGACATTACTCTATGAACAAAGACCACAGGTGCATTTTATTGATGGCAATCTGAAAACAGAGACACTGTGATGAGATCCTGAGACCCATTACGTCATGTTGCAGCATGACAATGCACGGCCCCTTGTAGCAAGGATCTGTACACAATTCCTGGAAGCTGAAAACAACCCCAGTTCTTGCATGGTCTGCGTACCCACCAGTAATGCCACCCATTGAGTGTGCCTGTGATGCTTTGGATCAGCGTGTGCGACAGAGTGTTCCACTTCCTGCCAATATCCAGCAACTTCACACAGTCATTGAAGAGGAGTGTGGCAACATTCCATGGGCCAAAATCAACAACCTGCTCAACTCTATGTAAAGAAGATGTGTCGCGCTGCATAAGGCAAATGCTGTCACTGATGTGCGCATGAAAAATTTTCTTAGCTATTTAACTTGACCTGTGAAAAATGGGAGCAAAAACAAACGTGTTTAAATTTTTGTTCAGTGTAGATTCCACAGGGAACCATGAAAAAGTTGTAGTGTAGGTTTATGTTTGCATATGGACATTCATTCATTCATTCATCTTCTAACCGCTTCATCCTCTTGAGGGTCGCGGGGGGCTGGAGCCTATCCCAGCTGACATCGGGCGAGAGGCAGGGTACACCCTGGACAGGTCGCAAGACTATCGCAGGGCTGACACATAGAGACAAACAACCATTCACGCTCACATTCACACCTACGGACAATTTAGAGTTATCAATTAACCTAGTCCCCAATCTGCATGTTTTTGGACTGTGGGAGGAAGCCGGAGCGCCCGGAGAGAACCCACGCTGACATGGGGAGAACATGCAAACTCCGCACAGAAGGGCTCCCATGCCCGGGATCGAAACGGCAACCCTCTTGCTGTGAGGCGAGAGTGCTAACCACCACACCACCGTGCCGCCCTGCATATGGACATGACTTGGATTATTACACAATGGCAAATGACCATGTCTATGTGTGAATATGTGTCTGTCTGTCTATCAGTCAGTTATTCATTTATTCCCCACATGAAATCATACAAGGTACAACTGCAGTAAGATGTTATCCCATCGGCTCCTTTGTGCTTCTTTGTCCTTGTGCATTACAATTCAGCCCTTTTTTGTTGCCTCTTCTTTTATTGTAGGCTGCTGCTTTGTAGGTGTCTACGTTTACAGACTGGCTGCAGTGCTTGTGTTTATGGCATCCTGGATGGTTCTGGTAATCCATGGTTTCTGGTTGTGGATTGGTTTAAATGTAGATTTGGGTGCAGCTGCTTCTGTTGTTTTGCAAATTAAATCCACCACAGACTCTGAGAGACTCTGATTGGCTCCATGTTTCGTGTCATTGGGGGCATGTGCCATGATTTGCTTACATATCTCAACCTCAGTGAGATAACCGCATGGTTACTCTCCTATATACAGCCAGCAGCTCTGCCCTGCTGCCTTTGAATGGCCCATAGCGGTGATCTGCAGTGTTTTTTTCCCCTTGCGGCGCAGGGCAAGCAGGAATAGGACAGCACCTCACATTCCTACTGTCACACCAACCCTTAATCACATAAAGCACGTCTCCTCCCCTTCTCTCACCAGCGTCCTGTGCTCTGTAAAATCAGTGTATAGAAAAAGAGTCACTTGGCTGAATGGCAGTGTCTGGGATTAAGCTTAGTTTTGGTGAAACAAAGGATATTACACTTCCTGATATCCCATGGAAACTGATGCAGCACAGAGGTCCTGCAGTTTATAATCCAACGCCTGTACACCAGCTAGCAGGATGCTACT